AAAGAGTCAATGGCAGTGGATTGAGAGAGGCCCCAGCGACAGATCCCAATTCAAATCTTAAATTTCCCTAAAAATCTAGAAACCAAAATCATATCAAATCATTAGTGCGAGCGTGAGCTATCCTGCGTCCAGTCGGTAGTAGCTACTTGTTAGCTACTAGCAACTCCCTTGCTACTACTAGCTACCTCTAGCTACTACTACTCGTAGCTACCTCTAACGGCCTAACCCCCTTTAAAAAAGGCAAGAATTGAAAGGCTCTCCATCCCAACCACATGGTGTCGAAACGTGTGGATCACTGGGTGGTCGATTTCGGTCCCGTCCCTCGCAGGTCTGTATGGATTGTGGGCTTCAACCTCAACAAGCGGTGGTTGGCTTCTTGGGAAGGCAGAGCCTGAAATTACTGGTCGGATCACCTCACTGGGCCATGTTCCGATGCTTGCAGATCATTCCTTGAATCCAACCGCCAATACCAAGCCAGGAAGCTGGGCTACGGCTACAGAGGTCCTGAGTCCTCAATCCAAATGTATATTCTACGGTAGCGAATCTATGCACCAGGTACGCATGTACCTCTGCTTAAGTGAGATGCAAACATCCCGACCAGACACAATATCCAAGCCTTGTTCTCGTCCATGTGAAGGAGCTCCGGAGGCAAACCAAAGGATCACAGCTTCAGTTTTAGTATTGTTTTTTCCCACTCCGACACTGGAGCAAGAGTCTCAGAAACTTGGGTACATACACATGTATATCAACATACAGCCATCTCTCTCTCTCTCTCTTTATTGTATGCCTGTACAGCAGTATTGTTGCACCCACACACCAAGATCGAAGCAACATTTCATAGAAGAAGCAGTATGAAACAGATCCTCGACTCTGATCCTTTGTCTTCCGCCGCAAAGAATCTTGAAGGCAACTGCCCTTCTTGGACCTTCGGAGCCTCAGCTACTCGGACGAGGACTTGCTCATGCTTTGCGCCGCCTATCCAGAGTCAGGCGTGGGTCTCACTCATTCCTTGTCTCATCCGGCGGTGTTTTCGAACTAGAGGGTCTTTAGCAGCTAAACCTACTTCGAAAGGTATGGCTGGGTACACTGCTGTCCTTAGACGTGTTTGGTCAATTGGAGATGGCGGTGCAGTCCTTTGTCCGCCATTTGTGGGAGCATGCCCCAAGAAATTGCACAATGGCCAAGTCAAGGAGAGATGCTAGGTTTCCAAGTGAATCAATTTGGTCAAAGGGTGGGTTGCAGGGAGTTCTTTGTTGAAACAGGTGGCGCCAAAACTTGGACTCTAGGTCTTGTACTCATTGATGCCAGCTAGTGAAACCAAGGTCTTTCTCAGCAGTATGTACAAAGGATCCAGTTTCGGAGCCGGATCTGGGCTCTGGGTTGTGGGCTCTGCAAGGCTTGCCTTCTCAAGGGTTGGATTCAGAAAAGCGAGACGTCCGTGACACTGAGAGGTATCCTGGAGAGATTGGATTTGGGCGACAACTCCAAGAGCCTTGGTTTGTTCTTGCACTTACAGGCCTAGTGAAGGCCATTATGGGCCTATATCTGGAAAGTCTCATAAGCAGAAGCACCAAAGTCCCTGCATGTGTCATGTCAAAACCAATTGTCACATTGGCAAGCAGTACCCTATCAATCAATCCAAAGGACTCCTCAGGAGTTTGTCCTTTAATGCAACCGCTCAGGATCAGCGATCGCTCCGTTTGCCCTTTACTTCAGTGTGCAGCCGCCAGGCATGGAGATGCTTGGCACCGGTTCCATGAGGCCTTGGGGGAATGCTGGTCCTGGTGCTATTTTTCTTGGAAGCTCGTGGAGGAGATGGGAGAAGTCTGAAAGCAAGGAATAATTGATATAAGCCACAAGAACAATGTTTGCAGTCCATCACTGTCATCATCATCTTGCACCTGCATCTACAAGGTTATTCTTTATATATATACATATATATGATTTGATTCGTGAGTCAAAGGTGCTCCAAACCATGCAGGAGTTGTTCTTTGAATCATTTTGAACCTATAGGTGCGAAGTTCCTGCCACATAGTTTGTCTCAGAACTCGTCAAGGATGTGGCGCTACAGTACCGTAGCAATGCCTTACACGAAAAAAAAACTTTCTACTATCCTGTACCCGGACGACGATCCAGGATTTCCCTGCCAACGGGCCATAAATACGGAGCTTTTGGTGTGTTTTTAGAAGTATGTTGACAATACAAAAAAGATATATATATATATATATTATATGGTATTTTTGTATATTGATGTAACGATGTACAATGTATATTATATGCATACAAATGCGAGTATGTATGTATATGCATATGCACTACAGCGGCATTGGGGATTTGATCATCATCTTCGATCCTTTAATCCCACCAATCCTTTGAGGCAAATTGAGTTTACAGTGTATTACACTTTTGATTACAGTAGGCTTGGTCATATATACTTCTGCAAGTTGTAGGAACTGTTCCTGCCTGTGCTCCAAGGACATGTTACGCAGTTTGCGCTTGGACAGGTGCACACACATCGGCCGTGGGATCCTCAGGGAGGTCTGACCGTTGGGGAAGTTGCCAAGTTGCCACCATGGTTTGTTCAGTTGGTTCTGAGCGCGGCGCGCGCGGAACACCGTAAGTTTTTGCCTTTCAGTTGCTTCCAACAGCAACTGGTTTCTGATGTCTCTGGGGCTGTTGGGAGCCTGTTGGGAGCCTTGGCACCAAGGCAAATGCATCCAACTCTTGACGCGGCTGATCCACGGCCCGATGCAGAATCTGGAGCGCCTCGACATCTCCGGTGTCTATGTGAGCGTGTGCGACGCTTGGAATTCTCAAATTTGGTAAGGTTTCTTGACCCAAATCTTCTATTTCAGAGGCAAGATATTGTTGAAACCTTTGTGAACTGTGTTTTTGGGTCTCACCAAGCTGAGGATTATCAGAAGCTGGCCAATGCGATTGAGAGACATGAGCACTTGCGAGAAGTGTTTCTTGGATTTTCAGGGGGGGTGGGCAATCGTGAATAGTGTTCCATCGGTTTGGCTTCCTAGCCAATGGCAAGCCCGAACTGAATGGAGTCGCCTAAGAGTTCTACATTCCACAGTTTCAAGGTAGCTGGGTTCACCTTGGGTGGAATTCATGCGAGAAGAAAGCAGATCTGCACCAGAACATTTGCTGGATCTCCTACTAGCAAACAAGATCCCAGAGTACACAAAAATGTGTGTGGCATACGACATCCACAGGAAAAGCAATTTGCGGGTGATAGTTCCCCAATGAACTTCCCAGAAGAACTGAATATTCCCACATTTCTACGCCGTGAGAAGGACCATGTCATTTACAAATGTTGAATGAAAGCACTCTTTCCTGGGCACCTGGGCATCATTTTTTCCTCCCCCAAATCTGGATGAATCTGGGGCTTGACAGGGGTGGCAAGCCATGAGAACATTGTTTGCAATCTATTCTATTTCATGTTATTTCTTTTGTTGAAGGAAGAACTCCGATCACAGCGGGATCTCCTACAACCTCTGGTCTTTCAGATTCCCTGACCTGGTTGGGAGGCTACTGTAAATTCTCCTGCATGCAGTGCAGACAAGTCCAGACAAGTCGACGTCCTTGAAAGGACGGCAGCCTGCCCTCCAAATACATCAAAAGTCGCTTTTGAACAGACCTATGTCACATTTCCCCACCACAAGGAGCAAGGACGCTACGAACGGGGCTCCTGGCAGCGCTACGAACGTTCGCTACTCCCCGCCGAGGTCGCTGGCGCGGACCGGCATCAGCCCCGACCTCTCCACCAAGGCGGGACGGACGTCACGGCGGTTGACGCCGGGACCACTTGCAGGATTGGCCCCAAATGAGACGTCAAGTAGACTCACACCAGGCAATGGTAGGTGTTCCTGATTCTTTTTTGATCTGAGGTATGGGGAGGTAACAGCAAGGGAAGCAGAATCTCCAGGGAAACGAAGCTGCGTTTGAGTTTCAATATTGGGTTTTGTACACTAGGCAAACGCAGGGGGACCCCAACAGAGGGAAGATAGCACTGGTGATATGCCACAATCCAAATCCTGCTTGGGTCATTTAGTATATGCACATGACCAATGGATTCATACATCGAGGCGCAAGGAATCAGGTCTTGCGATGTTTGATGTAAGTCGAGCCAGATCTGTCAAAAGTACATCGAAACGCTGGGAGAACAGGTCCACAGGTAGAGCAGAGCTACATGTTCATCCAAACTACTGCATGATACTGCATGCATTGGAAGCAGGATGCTTGCTTTGCTGGGTCCGGTCAAGTAAGTCAAAGCACTTGAATAGCAAACTGGTTCCACTCTGTTTGCCTCTTGGAAGCCAGATGCACGCGAACAAATATGGGACCCCTGGTAGTTTTCTAGGACCCGCTTGGCGCTTGCAGTTCTATCCAGAAGGGAACATGGGAGGCTGTGGAGCCACCCATCATGTTACATAGCTCATAGCTCCTTTTAGGAAGTTGTCCTCTCAGTGGAGTCCGGATCGTCTCGCACAGCTCAGTGGATCTAGCAGGTCTTGCCGAACTTGGTCAGGAACTCGAGGGTTGTGAAGCTGGACGCTTGTCAAGACGGAGATCGCAGGAAGTTTTGCGGGAAGACCCTGAACACGTATGACATATGTCTTCCTTCCATTGGAATGTGGTACCGGGACACCCTTTCCAAACATATTCTTGATGTTAGATTACTGTAACGGAGTTACAGACGGGTCTTGACAACACTGAGTGTTGCCCGGAGATAGCACTGGACAAACGATCACAAAGCAGTTTTGGCCAGACACTCGCACCGGGCGATGTGGACAAGCAAATGAGCTGGGAGTGGCCACATTCATTCGGGTATCACCAAATGACATCAGCTGAAGCAGAGTTTGATGTTTGCTCTTCCTTGCCTTCTGCAACTTTCGCAGCTCCACTGTGCCATCAATTACTTCCTGGCGTCAGAACGATCAACAAGTGGTTTTCTGTCCTGGTGACTTCGATTGATCATCTTTCATTGGCCGTTTGGCTCGGCGAAGCCTTTCTACTGCCGGCACGCTCTGCGTCGCGCGTCCATGCCGGCTGTGCGCTCCCACTGCCGTGTCTTCAATCCCTTGGGCTGGTGGCAGGAGGAGGATCCTGAAAAAGCCGGCCGGCGGCTACTGGTGATTGGCTGTGGGCCTTCAGGGATCCAAATCCTACGACAGCTCTGGAAGGACTTCGAGGTGGGAGTGAACCAGGAACTGAAGACGAATGAAGGCTGCGACAGCGACAGAAGTCCTGTCAAGCTGGTACTCTTTGACCATGAAGCATTCTTCTTTCGCTTGATGCCTCCATCAGCTGTGCGCAGCTGGTGTGTGTATTTTGAGCGATGTGCAATGTGCTTCTCTGATTCTTGTTTCTCCCGTCCTTGACCACTCGGACCGAAGCGAGTAGGTGGGCACTCGGACCGAGGTGACGTTGGTGGAGCCCAAGGACTACTATGAGTTCACTCCGGGCATCCTCCGAGGCCTTTGCCATCCTCAGCACCTGGAGACCTTGCTGCTGCCTCTCGAGGTGGGGATCGAAATAGACAAAAACATCAAGACTAGACTGCTAGCTACCTGTGATGGCTCTCCTAATGTTGCAAGATGTCACGGTTTTGCATCACCACCCTGGTTTTCAGAATTTCAAGCAGCGATGTTTTCCACCTGGTTTTTGTGGGTTGCAAGTACTTCGGGGGGAGCAGGTCACCTGTTGCGCAGACTTGTTTGTTCAGCCACACCATGCCACACCTTCACTGTACGGCCTCGCGAGGATGCCCTCGCGGGTATGAGGGTCAACCACATCAAGGGCCGAGTAGTCCGGCTTTCCGAGCGCAGCGCTCAAGTCGACAGCCCGGTGCATGGCCTGATGGCAGTGGACTTCGATTACGCGGTGGTCGCAGTTGGCTCTCAATATGCGGGGAATAGCCTATGGAAAGTCTCAGGTGGGATGATGAGGGATGAAGAGGGCATATGTTTCTTGGTGTGACTGTACATGTTTTGCTATCGACCCCTTGAAAATTGGTTTGTAACATTCTGTAACACCCCATGAAATCATGAACCTGCAAGCGCACCGGGAAAAAGAACACATATCAATCATTATCAATCCCTTTGGTGCCCTCCATCTACCACTTTGCTGTCCCACACAGGAGCTGCAGAGGCTGATGAGCTTAGCCTGATAGGGAGGCGGAAGAGCCTAGAGGCGATGCGTCAAAATTTGGAAGACTTGGAGAAGGACAGCTCCGGGCTGGGCTGCTTGAAATCGGAAGTACCTCCCCGTCCCAACTATCTACTTGTCTATCATCTCCCAAATAAAGATGGGGTTTCTCGACATGTTTAAGATTCCGGTTTCCTATGGATTTCCCAAACATACCTATCCAGCATGAATGGCTATCGCTGGACCATTTCTTGCTTTATGTGGAGTGTCTTGACGGAATGCGAGAGGTCGGTGCCGGTGAGTCGTGAAGGAGCAAAAGACTTTGGTGCTACTGGGAGCTGGCCTGGTAGGCCTTCGGAGCGCGCACCTTCTGCGCTTTTTCTGACACGTGCTGTGTGGGGCGAATGGGACTTCTTGGGGGGCCTAACAGGAATCTGATGGAATTTGGACTCATCACCCAAATCTTTCTCTTCAAAGTGTTCCAACACACCCAAAGTGTTCCGGACAGTTCTTGGCAAAATTGTCCGGATGTGTTCAAAGTTTGGTCCACCGTGCCTTGTGGACTGAATCGGCAGTGCGCCACGCAGAACTTTCCCAGCTGCGTAGACCGAACTTGCAGGCGTTGAACTGGCTGCGGAGGTGAAGCATTACTTCCCCACGCTTCGAGTGGTCCTTGCAGACCGAAGTCAGACGGTCCTACCGGTCTTGCCGAAGGATGCGCAGGTCAGGTGGGGGCGCTTTGAGAAAGGTTGGAACTTGGAATGGCACAATGAGTGCACAGCCGCACAGCCACCATCAGCCACCCATGATATTGAAAGGGGCAATCTAAACTCATCTAACTATATAACATGATCTATCCACAGCAACCAAAGACATCCAGACGTTACAGATGGTATTTCTCGACGCTTCAATATTTTTTTAGCTCAATGGCCAGCTCAACTCATTTGGTTGTCAAGCATACCTTGGTGAACTTCTTCTGAGGAGTCCATCAACCTCACCATCCACTTGGAATTCTTTTGGAGTAGCAGTAGTATTCACTCGTTCTCACCCTTCACTGGAGGACTATGCCCAAACGTGGCTCAAAGAGCATGGCGTAGACCTGCGGCTGGGCTGCGAACTGCCCCGCGACGAGACCGCCTTGTTAAAGGCACTGGAGATCGATGAGGCGAAGGTTGGACTCCGGTGGAGTGGGGGAATGAGGGCCGCTTGGGGGGGCCCCGGGGTCTGACATGGTCTGACGGTGCAGAGGAGACCATGGTGGACAGATTGGTCAAGTTCATTGGAGAGGTTCACTCCAGCTTTTTCGGGTCCAAAGTTCGATTTTGGAGTCCCTCCACAAAACACCATCAAAGCACTCATTGTCGCTGGTGCTGATTGCCTGAAAATACCAGACTTGGCCAAACACTCTGGTGAAACGCCTGGACCCAAACAGGTGCTTTTATGTGCTGGTCTTGGCTTTCATGCCGGGATGGCAGCGACTCTTGAGTGCGTGGATGCGAGTGGGCAGATTACCACGAACCGCTTCATGCAGTGCATCGATTCCAAGGGCCATCCAAGCGCAGATGGGCGCATCTTCGCGCTGGGCGATTGTGTGAATGTCCGCGGCACTGAGATGCGCTTTACCAAGGAGATGAACAGCACCGGGTGATCATGTGAGAGTGTTCATTCCTAACCTTTCCTTGCATTTGCTGACTTGTATTTTGGAATATGTTTGGTTACAGAACATTGTTGACAGCAATATTTTGGTGATCTTCCTTGGCCCAATAGTGAATTTATTCACGGAACGCCGTAAAGCCTGGAGTCTTCTCCGCCTTTTCAGGACATTTATCCAGCTGAAGCGATGGCCAATGTGGTCGTCTCCAACCTGCGACGGCTCAGGAACGATCCAGGGTCCGCCAATCTGGAGGAGCTCTCCTCAAGGCTACAGGAAATTACTCTTTGTTCCCTTGGGCCCACAGACCATTGTATGAAACAACAGCTGTTTTGTCCATATGTTTTTTTTTGTGCTGTATGCTTTGGAACGGAAGCTTCCTGGTTTCAACTGGAGCTGCAAACAACATGTGGGGAATGGGAACCGGCTTGTTTTCCGGCTGTGAGAAACCAAACAACAAATACAATCAAATACACATATCATATAATATCATATAAGTAGGTTTCGATGTTGATCGCAATTTCCTTGGATTGGAAGCGGCTGTTCAAGTCCGTCCAAGGATTGCATCTTCGTGCGGAATGGCGGAGTCGTCACCACTGGCTGGATTGCTGTGCAGATGAAGCATCAAGTTGAGGTTACTAAAATGGGTGAGATGCGGCAGGAGATGTGGGGCAGCTTCGTTTGGAGCTTGGTTCCACACTGGTGATCAGTGGAACTGAAGGAAGACGTCCAGACTTCGGAGATGGATCATACCCAGGATTTCCTGCTCACCATCTAGTGATACCTTGGTATCCTCAGTATCCTCAATAATGTTTTTTGGGTGCTTCATCATGCTCATGCAGGATGTTCTTCCCGGCAGTTCTGTCGATCTACTAGTTTGTACAAAATGAGGACGACGAAAGGGCGAACATCACTCTTTCGCAGAATCAGAACAACAGTTTTTCCTCCACCCCTGTGCGTGTGGAGACCAAAACAAGTGCGGCCTCAAGGAGCTTGGTTGGACTATCCATTTCCATGCCATGATTTACTGACCTGTATAATCTTGTATCAAGCTATTGACCACATGGTCAAAGTCTCTAGCTTCAGCATTTACACCCAAGAATCTGGGCCGACAAAAAAAAGGGCGAGTGGTGCCTCCACTTGTGCGCCCCTGAATGCGCAGAGTGCCGTGTGATTTCGTGCGTCCGAATCCTGAGGACCTGGGCTACAATCACTTTGATCCTGAAGCATTCAGTGTCCGAGCCCTCAGTGACCTCCGCGGGCTGCAGGAAGCCTTTTTCAACACGGGGTCAAGGGACATCGGACAGGAGGCTGACTTTCGATGAATTCCTTTAAGGCCTCTTCGTACATGAGGTTGGAAAATGCCAGAAAGCAGACACATCCATTTGATGTTCATGAAACTAGGAGCAGGACTTGACCACAGACCGCTTGGTACTTGAGCAAGATACTTGCAAGACCCTGAAGACCCTCTATAGTTTGCTGTTCAAAGGCATTTGCATAAGGACATGTGGTCCTAGTGAAGAATTTGCCGTTGTTTTGTGATCCTGGGGTCTTTCAGGCTGGACTTGACACCGAGGACATTAGGTCGGCGAGTTTGTAGGCCTCCAGGACAGGACAGCAGGTGACAGTTCCAGGACTTGTCTTGACATTCACCAGCGATCTGTGTGGGGGTGCGTGTGATTTGGGAAATGACTCCAGGTGCTGGGCAATAGCCTTTTCAAGGGCAGCCAGATCGAACATTTGGGCTTAGCGAAGACTGCCTCAGTCCTGGCCCTGACCTCAGCCAAGTGCTAACCCAGTACACATACGAAGACTGCAGGAGCTGCTCGCTTCACATTCCATTCCCGACTGCAAATGAGTGTCGGTTCTGCTCCATTCGAATAGACATGGACATTCGTTCCAAAATGATCATCAAAGTCACCAAAGTGATCCCAAAGACAATTACTGTAGGTGACTTGCTTATCTTATCATGACCAAAGCTTCCAGATTCTGCTTTCAGATTCCCCATCTACTTCTGATGGGTCCCTCTCAAGATGGAGGGCCGTCCTCTGTAACAGATGCCATCGGAACCAGGCCTACGTTCCGATGTCCGGCTTTTTGGAACAGCTGCCTGCCGACAAAAGCCTCAAGTTCCTGGACCTAGCCGCCGCACGGTCCGCAGCGACCGTTGGACCAACGTGTTTTCTTTGAACGGTGAAGGATACAGAAACATTTTCTGAGAAGCGAGCGTTTTGTTGTTGTTCTTCAAACTTGGTGGGTGTAAGAGTCGAATGTAGTTGGGTGCATGATCAGGGAGTCAGTATAATATAGAATCGAGCGTATAATATACAGTAACTGAATTCATTTGTTCATGCACAAGGACAATATGTTGGACGAGAACGCTGCCATGATGCTGGAGTATGGCTTGCAGACACATCCTTCAATAGAGACTGAGCTGGAACAAGCTGGAACAAGTGCAATCCCATCCCAGGATTCTGGGACACCAGATTGACATGTGAGGGCTCTGCACCGTGCGGCCAATGAGTGTTGACCACTTGTTGACTAGGGATGTTGTGAACATTCTTCCACAAGGGCATCGCTGGTCTCCAACAAGGCCATGAACATTGGTTCAAGATCTGACAAACTCACCGAAGAACCCTGTTCGGATGCGACTCTTAGGAGTTGCTGGATGTCTCCAACAATCCTCTGGGACAAGGTGGCCTTGGGTCCATGTGTCTTGGTGCAGTTGATGACCGTGGGTCGAAGCCGGAGGTATAGAGGGTGGATACCCATGTCGGCCGCTGGAATTGCTTAATTCAAGTTGCAGATGGTGCAAACCGATGAGTTCTGTCACTTGCCAGCCAAGATGTGACCCAGGGCTCGCCTGCTGTCCTCGGACAAATCTCCACACTTGGGGGGAGATCCGGATGGATGACGTTCAGGTGTGGGTAACTGCTGCCCCATTAATTGAAATCAGGAACTGGAATGAGTTGAGCCAAAGTTTCTTTTTTTCCGCTTTACTTGCAGGGTGTTCTCACCGACGGCATATTTCCCGAGTGATGCTTGGAGGCGACAGAGGATCGAGATGCGGCCGTAGAGTTCTTCGAAGTGGTGCCTCGGACAGGTTTGCCGCAAATGCGGAGGTTTGGAAGCGACAGCAGGGCAGGGCTGAGTGTGGAATCCGTTCTCAAAGACGATGTGCTTTACAACTTTAACAGGTTTTGCTAAAGTATCTTGAAGTAAGGTTCATGTCATGTCAACAGTTCACCCAAAAGCCTTTAACCTCAAGATCTTTCATCATGTTTCCCACCAACGAAGAACCGCCTTGCTCAGCACCGAGGACCCCTCTGGGCAGTACCGCTTGGATTTGACACTGCCGGGGCCACGAACCTCCTTCCGGCTGCTGCTTTCACAGCTCTCCGACATGGGCAGCCGGAGCCAATACATCAAGAGTCGGGTCGCCGAGAGCAGGGAGCTGGGCAAGTGAAACGAAGTGGGGCGGGTTCCGCAACAAAAGAGTGGCTCTGAAAAAAGGTACTGCGGACTGCTTCGTACTGCTTTGCCCGGCAAGAATGACTGGATGCATCGTCCGAAGCCGCCAGCGATAATAAAGCATTGCGTTGCGAGTCTGTGAAAATCCTTTGCACACGTGCTTTTGCATGCCACATCATTCTGGTCAGCTTGGCAGTGAAAAGGAAACCAGGGTATGACTTGGACATGAGAAGGACTGCCCACGCCCCATGTGTTACTTGTTTCAACGAGCAAAGTTCTTGTTACTTGTTCTTTGTTCAATGTAGCATTGTCGTGGGTGATCTTGATCTTGTCGACAAAGATATCGCATTCAACCGAACGCATCCAATTTACACAGCTTGCACAAGACAGAAGGGCCATCGGCCACATGCTCGCAAGTTCACAATGCCTGGCTGGCAAACTGTCATGTAAGCCTTATATGATTATATCATTACTCTCAAATGACAGTGGTTGGATGCATATATGGCAAGTGCTCTCAGCCTGGTGACTGCTATGATGACAATGTTTTGGACCAACAAGCGCCAATTCTTATGGCCGGATGCAATAGAATATGTCATGGCCAAACCCAGTCCAGAGCTCTTGAACGAGGTGCCACGCTTACCACATCGCCCAAGACTCCGCCAGCACCCTACAATGTGCCTTGGTTCGGCAGCAACATGCCGAACGCCTGGTCGATTCTTTCGGGGTCTCAGTCCATTGAGTGGCTAATCTCAGTGTGGTTGAGGTGCAAATGTGCAAAGTAGAATATGCGCACAAGTACTCTAAGAGGGCAGTGGCAACCCAACATAATTCGGGCATTTTATCTGGCTCCTCTGGATATTCCTGAACTCCTAGCTAAGCCCCTGCTCCAGGTAGATGCAGTTCGGAAACGCAAGAACATTTGGACGGTGCCTACGGCGGGGGTTCTTGACTTCGTGTGGCTGAGCCTGAGAGGAAAGGGTACGGATGTGGCGGATGCGTCAGCGGGTTCATGTTCTTGGGAACGTCGTGGAAGCTCGCGATCACCGGGGATTTAATGCTGTGACGCGTTTCTCAATGTCTTTGCTTTTTACTAAGTCGGTGGATCCACGCTTGTTTGATTGGGAATCAGGTTGTGGCTCCTAGCTTTATTGTTTAGTTCATGGATAGCTGACGCATGTTGTGCCCGCCAGTTCTCCTGCAGTGGCACGATTGAGTCTCCAGAGCAACTTTGGTTTCGGCGAAGCAAGCCAGATGCATCTCGGGCATTCGCCGAGGTTGAACATCAGTGACTTTCTCCTAAAGGATGAGGGGGAGAACGAACGCCTCTACTCGGCTGTGGTGGAGCGGATGTTTCTGAAGAGGAGGGATGGCCGGGGCCGGGGGTGGCCTTTTTTGTGAGAGTTCTTTCGAGATTTGTTCGAGTCTGTAACTGTGTGTTCTTTTTTGTTCTCATTCATAGAGCTTGAGTTTGCTAAGGGGCATGCATGGGCATGCCATTGACTTCCAGAGATGTTTAAAGGTGACTCAGAAGCCCAGTGCCTCGAAGCAAAGTCCTGCAATCCACTTCTGTCGAAAGCCCTCACAGCACAGCACCGGGAATTGTTTTTTTGCTTCAAGGAAGCGGAGGTTACTTTCCAGGAAGAGGGCCCTGGTGGTCTTGCAGAAGGCCAGGGCAGTTGCTTTCGATGGCATGATTCAATGACTGTCAATGTGCGGCTTGGTGCGTCAATTTCGATTTTGGTCGTTTACACGACAATTGGTAGTAGACGCAGTACTAATCAAAGGCAAACGGAAGGGTAGTGCACAGAAAGGGTTTTGCAAAAACCTATTCTACTAACGTCGTGGAAGGCGCGTGACCTTCGTAGAACCCAAGGCTGTTAGTGGACAGTTCGTGGAATGGTGGGCCAGTGGGAGAACTGACTGCAACGAAATCCCAGAAACCTTCGCAGAACTTCGTGGAAGGTATTTTTGATGCACTAACTTCATTTAATATATAAGCGATTTTTGCTGACCCCCCTTTCTCCACACACCCTCCGTTTAGCCTTCAACTAATGCTTCTCAGTGAGATGACTCTCTCCTGACCCCCTTCGCAGCGTTCGTTTTAGGGTCTTCCACATCAGACCGGACCCTGGGTAGTTGTGGACGTCGCTGTGGCATCATTCGCTGCCCAGTGAGCGACAAAACACAGAGAAGGTATGAGAAGGTACTAACAAGGTCAGTCTGTGAGTCTGGAATTGCTGCTACTCAGCCTACTCCCATGAGGGGTAAGATCATGTGACGCTACGGAAGCAGAACACACTTTTTCCATACACCAAGATCTCGAGGGCTGACACTTGGCGACACTCCTGGGCCTGCCGGTCAGGTCAGCAGCTTAAGGGGCCCCATTTTCGATGCTTTCATCACTGCCCTCTTGCACTACTTCCATCTCTCCAGGGACCAGGCACAGCATGTGTTGATGTTGTCGGTGAACATGTTGGTGCAATTTGTGTTTGGACCCAAAGCAAAACGGATTCTTCTGAATGTACTGGTGTTGTGTTTTGATCCGCTTTTCTCGTGCATTCGTCAATGTCTCAGCCTGGCACACTTTGTCACCTGTGATGCAATGACATATGATGCACTGTTCTACAGGTTATGGCCATCTACATGAACCAAGGCAGGCCAGCCGCTCCTCGTGTTGTGTTCCAAGCTTGGAACAGGTCGAACCCTTACCGCTTTGCGGTCACAAACCACTGTTCTCTTCATGAGGTAAAGCTTGTCAGTCATAACTCATAACATGTGATGGACCTTGGCATACTTTGGCCATCAAACTCCCTTTCTAAACATTCATTTGCATTCCCACGAGTTGACTTTGGCTCCCTGACTCTGATTGACCCTGGAACAAAATCCCTACTGGGTCTGCCAGGCGACAAAGCCAAGGAGACCTTGCTCCGCATGCTGCCCACGCTGATGTCCCCCTACGCGCTGATGCATGCGGCACGGAACACGGACTCCATCCAGGACGGTCCGTGCTGCGACGCCTGGTGCGTCCGTTCGCTCGCGATCCAGCGGTTTGGAGAAAATGCTTTGGAGACATCCAGGGTTTGGGACATCCAGCGTTATAGCTCATGTTGGTCAACTATCTGCATTTTTTTGAGGTGTTGGTGTCCTTTACCGTGACTGGGTGTAGACGAAATGTCTTGGCCTTTCGACTCCCAGGAGATGCTGGACTTCGAGAAGGTGGCTGCAGAACACATGGCTCTAAATCTGGAGAACCCCACAGGGCACTATGCTTTGCGTCTGGTGGGGCACCTTAGTTGCTGGAAAATACCGGAGCATAGGGTTCTGTTGGCAGGTTCTGTCAGTGGGCCAGGTAAATATGTGTGAGGGTTGTGAAGTTGACGTTGTTATAATTGTAATGGTTTGCTTTGAAGTTCTGCCACATCAACTTATGCAGGCTGAACTCACTAGCACGTGGCACATGATTCATTCAGGCGTGTATGGAGGGCTACCATTATGTTGGGGCGTGTAATTGTTTTGCGCAGGGAAGATACTCCGTTCAGTGAGTTGCTGAGTATATATATATATATAATATCATATGATATATATATATAATATATCATATGATATATATATATATATTATAATATATATATATTAAAATATATTATATACAGTCCATTAATGTTCATTGTAAATTTGCACATGATTTCCTTCTACGAGTCAAGAGGTCTCCATGTTTGGACAGTCCCCCTTGACTCCAGGAGTCCCTGCCTGCACGCGTGGTGGCACAACATTTGCTGCTGCTGAATCGTTGGCAGCTCCATTTGTGGAGGAAGGCCAATCTCGTGGACGTCAGCATGGATGGCAAGGGGCACCTCAGTTGCCAAGATGCGCCAGTTGATGTCCACCAAGGGCGGTGTTTCCATGCCCAGATATGGCCACGATGTTCCAGCTGTCCAATTGAGTTTCACAAAGACGGATGACAGACGATGACAGAAGGTTTGAGAAGGATGTCACTTGCAAGGTAGTTGGGGGTTGTTGCTGGACCCCTGTTTCCGGACATTTTACAACTTGTGCAATACCCTTACGTATCATTGGTGCCGAAATCACTGGAAGGATCTGGAAGGGTCACCCTTTTGGAAAGTAAGAGCAGTAGGAAAAGTGAGCGTCCAGAGCATTTGCAGAGTTTCCTCCAGGAAATGCCTTCGCAACACACTCTTGGATGGTGGCTCGGCACAGGAGGTGCAACTCTATGACGAAGCAGTCTGAGCAGGTCTTACGGTACCCACAGACCACAACCAGACTTTGGCACTTTGCAGCACCAAAGTCAGTGAATGTACCGACATCCATGCAGGGCTCATTGAAGCTGAAACACCAGATTCTGGTCACCCGAGGGACCTCAGGAAGGTGGGATGGTGTCGGGGTCTCGACCCGGTCTCGACCCGACCGGTGGCGACCGGCACCGCTGGCTTCGCCGCACCCGCTTTCGCTGAGCTGATCCGGTGAGGGACCTCGGATGCCCCGCTGAGGGAAGTTTTTGGGTTGGGCTGACATCGACTGGCGCTTGCCGGCCTCTGGGCAACTGACCTTCGACTTCGTGGCACTTTATAGGTGCCTAACATCGAAGGCTTTCGTTTTGACACCGTGCTTGCTGCTAGCTTCCTTTGACAGATCGTGGTTGCTTGTTTCGTGGAGCGTGTAGATCATATTGTGTTTCCTCACCACTTGGAAAGAGAGATATCACGAGTATGACAAGTGTGGGGCGTGTGGGTTCGTCGCCAAGATTGCTGTTGCTCCTCCAAGAAGCATGACAAGCCAAAGGCAAGAACGATTGCAAAAAGAACAGATTGCATGATCACGAACAAATCATGGTGATACTTCAAGGACGATCGCCGGCCTTGCGATCTGTCGGACGCCAGGCCCCCGGCGGACGCTTCGCCCGTGGCGTCGGACGCGTGGGGTCAAGTGCTGGCTGCCCTCGCAGAGCCTTGGGCATCGGTCCGAGGAAAGGGGAAGGCTCCAGGGAAGACCTGATGAGAAGACTCCCCAAAAAATGTGAAATGCAAGGTGTATACACCGTACACCACTTGAATTCATCATCTTGTTTGACCCAAGCAGATCTTGGAGGAAAGACATCTCCAAGAAGAACAAGAAGCTACTGGGTGGAGGCCATCGCTATTAGGTTGGAGGCCATTACTAGGAAGGAGCAACAAGCTACTAGTAACAAGAAGCTACTAGGGGCTCCTGGCATCGCTACGAACGGAGCAAGGACGCTACTAGGGGCTCCTGGCCGTACTACTAGGAGCAAAAAGCTACAAATTAGTAACAAGCCATCCTGTCAATTGTTTCGTATCTTTTGATCCCGTGGCAGCCAGTGGCTCCGGTAGACCATCCCTTGTGGACACGGAACCGGCCTCTTCAGGCCACACAACACATGCCACTTTCTCTCAGACCCATCCTCATTGACACCACAAAGTGGTGCAGCGACACATTGGACTTATTTCTTTGAGAGCCATGACAAAATGGTTGCTGAGACATGTTCAAAAAGAACTTAGCATCCAGGTCAGAGGTCCCAGGTCTTGTTACAGTCATTTCTGACCCTGAGATTTTGCATGCGCAGTTGCCTCCATTGCCACAGCGCTCCCAAATACATGAAATCCATAGTGTAGCGGTTTGAACATCCCTTGGTCATCCACGATCAGGACCTTTTGGCACCCAAGATCCGGGAAGGAAACCAGGAGAGCGGACAGGGCATGTGGAGCAAGCTGAAGCTGGCACTGATGTTGAATGCTTGATTAATGTCCACTTTATGTCGTTTTGATTGTTCACATGCTCAACACATGTTTGTTTGTTTATGATATTCCATGTTTTCTTTGTTGCAATGCGGGGCACGTGCCTCGAATCACCATGTGTCTTCGTTCGGGGTCACCGGACACCAAGCCCTGGCCGAATCGACTCAACTTCTTGTCAGAGCTCTTTGATCCGGTCGTTTTCGAAATGCAATATGTTTGAAAGGACCAACAGAGCGTCCCAAAAGAAGAACACCGTGTTTGCGGTTTGGGGCGAATGTTTCCGGGCGGTGGGTAGTGACTGTTCCCGTTTCGAATCCTGAGAGTTCGATCCAAGTTTCCGCAGTGTATGGATGATGTCCTGGAGCGACCACAGGCTTCTCTGTACAGTCTGTACTATTGGACCGTTTTGAAAAGCAAACAGACAGAGGTCAACCGACTTGACTCCAAGCAAGATGAGTTCTGCTCCTTAAGACTTGACCCCACCAAACCTGCCAAGACCTTTGCGAGGAGGATCCTTCAGTGAGGAGGCAGGTGGCCAAGGTGCAATGGGCCATGAGAGCTATCAGCTCTCGGGTGTGGCTCCTGACCCGACAGCTCAGGCACGAGCGACGTCACTGTTTGAACAGGTATGGTGTCGAGATGACGTTGGTCGGTAAAGGTGCGGTTGGGGGTCATGCTCGACGTGACATGGGATGTCCCATGCCATGTCCAGGTTCTGATTCTCCCTCTCTCTCTAGACTCTAGTCTATGTATATGTTATATATTATATATACAATAAGGAGTTGAGGAGTTTACCACGTTTCCTGAAAAGACCCATTGTTCCGGGCATGCCCAAGTTCCACAGAAGTGTGGCAACGGAGTCCACCTTTCACCAGGGGCTTTGCAATGATGTGTGTGTATATGAATATATGAATATATATATATATATGTACACACATGTTATTGACTCCTGGATTCCAATTCCAGCCCTGCTAGTTTGGAGGTCAAAGTAGGTAGAGGTTGTTGAACCTACAGTGAGACTTGTTTCAATATGCTGATCCACAAGCTTTCTTACAGCCCAGCTTCGCTTGTCAATTGTGACGGCTTTGCTTCCAAGCAGGAACTTGCTATGCATCTTCTTGAACAGCAGCATGGCCAAATTGGTTGGACAGAACCCAGTTGGGGGGGTCACCATCACAGTAGTCAGAAAAGTTTGTGCAGAGTATATTTTATGTATGTATCTAGCCTATTTTGAGATCTTACTGCGAGAAAGAGATTCCAGACTAGCAAGTCACACATCGCGATCCCCTGTGCATACAAGTACTTCCAGTGGTGATTGTTGATCTCACGCATTCCTTCGGATAGAATGCATATATTGTATACATATATAGGGATGTGTTAAAGTGGTATCGTGCCCTTTCGGGAAACGCAAGGGAACTCTTTGATTCATCAGCACTAGCCTTTGAGGTGTGACTTTATAAAGATCTTGCGGAATCTTGCGTTGGTGTTTCCTGGTGTTTAATTTGGGGACTAGCTCGTTTCTGTCAGGTCAAAAGTCAATCTTGCATTGTCAACCGATCCCAAATAAGTTTATTCTGCTGGCGTTCTGAATCTTGTAGATCTGAGAGAGTTTCAAGGCAACAATGTCTCCTGTAGGTCGTTGACCGATGTTAGCGCAAAGACCATGTTGCAAAGGCACCATGTTTCAAGACTTCTGAGGGTGAAGTTCTGTTCAAAAGCATGTCTTTGAGTTTCATTGACTCGTGAAGATCCACCAAAGGTATTTATATCCCATTTACTTCGAGGTGGTAACTTTGTGAGTTCACTCGCTCGACTTCGCCCAGTTGAGGACAAGACCGTGGAGAAGTCATGTCCACCTTCTTTTTGCGCTGTGTGGATTGGCCAATCAACGGCAAATGTGCCTTTTCTCGCACCGCGTGTGGTTCGTGGGTTCAGCGGGCGCAAGGGCGGCACCGCTGGGAGCACTGGAAAGACCGGACCGGTCGCTGAAAAAAGAGAAAAGCAATTCCTCGCAATTTGTAGGACCTTGGACCCACGGGTTTAACATGATTCTTGCTCAAGTTACTGTTTATCCATTTGTAGGCTTCTTGGTGCTACTCTATTTAGAGCCAGTTGACTTCCTGTTCTCTATCACGTTTCATCCCGCCATACTTTGTGATACACTCCACCAGCTTAAGATGTGTCAGCAAAGATCCAGAATTGCAGAGCGTTGCAAATCGACTTGTCCCACACACATATCCACATATATTGTACTATTGCTGAGACTGACTCTGTGCAATGGCTCGGATTGTATTGCTGTGTTGCACGATTGCTGGATCCTTGCCAAATGTTCATCACGTAGGGGAGGGTTCTTACGATTTCTTTCTATCCTTCCCGCAAATAATCCTGGCAAGCAGATGCGTACTGCGCATCAAGGTTGTCAGCCCAAGTTCACTCGGCACCACTGGAAGGACCTGAGCCAAAGGCAGTCGGTGTAGGGTCCAAACTGGGAACACGAAACTGTCATCATTTGCAGTAGACGAAACTGTCATAAAGACATCGGTGGCCCTTTCTTCCCATTCTGGATTTCCAAGTTGTAGGGATGCAGCAAGACAGGGCCTCACGAGTTAAACCCAACGGCAACAGAAGAGCTTTTGAGCAGACGGTTGCTTTTGAGAGAACATGAGGCCGTTCTGGCGCCAAAAGCAGGCCGACAAGAACTGTTTTTTTCACCAACGACAGTCTCGATGCCAGGCTGGGGTATATGAACCTTTTTCCCTATGGACAACCCGATTCTTGGCCGAATGTTCTTGCTCCGTTTGTACGGCCAGGAGCCCCGTTCGTAGTGTCCGATCGCTCCGTTCGTAGCGATGCCCTTTTCACAACTAGAACTAGACCCACAAATCTTCAAGACACAGTTGACGTGCTTAACTACACAGGACACTCAGGGACACACACACACACTCTGACATTGGTTTTCAGTTAACTCAATTTCCCGAGAAAAGGAGTGGCTCAACGGCAAGGTGAAGAGTCCGGTCAAATTGAAGGTGTTTTCAACAAACAGTTTGTGCGCATCTGCAGACTCGCGACAGCAGCGGACGAGCGGCGGACGGCAGCTGAAAGGCAGCTGTGGGAAAACCCGTTTATGGGGTAAGAAACGTGAAAGAACCATGAATCAAACCGTGGAAAAGTAGGGTGGACAGCT